TAAAATATTTTAATCGCGATTAAAATATTTTAATCGCGATTAATCGCATGGATTTTTTGCGATTAATCTCATTGTTATGGCAAAGTTCAATAATGAATTCAAAAGTAGTGTATTGCACACTTTTATTTTAAAGTACTGCTTTATTAACAAAAGTGCAATAACATTTGTTTTGTAAACACTTTAAACACATCAGGTTCTTGTTAACAGCAGTATTCCCTTTACACAGTAGCAGTTATACAGTTATAATGATTCTGATCATAGATATTCAGCCGGTGTTCACAACTTTATCTTCATGTGTGTAAGAGATGATATTTAAATATACACCTTGAAAACTGCAAACATATCTACTTTTTTTTTTGTTTGTTAAATTCTCAGTAGCGATAAATGATGCTTATTATACATATTACAAACAAAACACTTTAAAAACTCCACAATATGTATTTTAATATTGTCACTGTTGTAAATTGTTTGATTGCATGATTTACTTTTGCATGATTTACTTTTATTGTGAAGAGCATGCAAACGGAAGTGCTTTTACTCTGAAGAGACAGGAAGTAGAATGGTACGTGTTCTTGACACTAACAATATTGATGATAGGTAGAAAACCACATGTCGGGTGCAAGAGCGTGTTGTGTTCACTGTAACACTGCAGTTCAGACAGTAAAGTGTTCCGTTCAAACAAGAACGTGTCTTGATCCTCACGTGAAGCTCCACTTCACAACAGTCACGCTTGATCTGTAACGAGACGATCGCATGCGCGCGAAGGACGGTGACGGCGTGTAGGAGGGGTTCTGGACCCGGGGGGAAGTGACGCCACACGAACACAGCTGTTCACTGCTTGCTGCCTGGTTCTTGTGTTAAAAATGTCGCTTCATAATAAAAATAAACAAAACTGCGTTAATGCGCGATAATATAATTGTCGGCGTTAATTAATGAATGCGTTAACGCGATAATAACGCATTAACTTGCCCAGCACTAAAAAAAAAATGTAATAATATTTAGTATTATAAAGTAAAAGTGACTTTTACTTGTTTTGTGCTCAATAATCTGAGTTAATTCTGATCAAACCGCTGCTCCAGCTTAACACTGAAGCAGTGAAACGATGACTAGAGGCCGATGTTCACTCTGTCTCACATGGAGGCTTATTTATGGATCATAACTCAGAAGAACAGACGATGCTTCAGGTTCTCTCTTGTGAAGAACTACTGCTTCTCTGTTTCATTACGAACTGTTTGGACATTTTAAAGGCACTAACTTGGCCTCTAGAGCTGTTTGATGGGCATGTTTCTTTACTTTGTGACATTTTATAGACGTTTATGAAAAATAATAACACTTAACGTAGGTATTGGTTTAAACCCCAAAGCACCGTATCAAATGATCGTATTTGATCATTTGATTTATGACTTTTTTTTTTTTAAATAATATATTATTCAAGAATATTGAATAAGAATATATTCATTCTTACTCTGTTCTTATTAGACCAGGACTAGATTGTTTGATAAGAGCAGTGAGCTCGTTGGTTTCTTCTGTTGGCATTTCCTCTCATCGATGTTTTGTTAAAGTCTTTTAATAACTCCAATAGAGCGACGTGAAAAGCTCCACATTGCTCCAATAACTGTTACTTAAACATCACCGAACAAAACAGCACAAACCTATTTAAACGTTGTCTGTCTCTGCTGTGGACTGCGGTTCAGAAGGAGAACAGAAGATGAACTTTACCTCTGAGCTCTTGCGGTTCTGCAGCACCTGCTTGTCTGTGTCTTTGGTGGCGAAGAAGCGAGTGCATCCTCTGTTCAGGTACTGCAACACAAACAAGAGACGGGCCGGAGATGAGCAACACGTCGGAGAACAAAGAGAACAAAGAGAACAAACATGTAACTGTCAAACGGGGGGGTCAGGCCGAGCAGATTGACATAAACAAGAAGTTTCATTACAGGAGGAACGGGGACACATTCTCCATTTTGTTCCTCCAAACGTCAGAGAGAAATGCTGTCGTATGGTGTTTAATGTGTCACTTTCATCTGTCCTTGTCTCCTCCTTTCCTCACATCTTTGTGCTTCATCCTTTCCTCTTACTTTTCTTTGCTTCCTTTACTTGTCTGTCCTGCATTCTTTTGTCATTTGGGACCACAGACTGTTCACAAGTGGACGTAGTCGTCGTGATGTCTGTCATTGGTTTGTGGACTAAAGTTTTGAAGCCTTGAGTCCGCCGTCGCCATCTTGTTTTTTTTGCAACCAGTGAACAGGAAGTCACCATATCTGGACTGAGCAGGAGTGACGTAGAGACGCCGTATACGTCTCTGGTAGAGACCTGTCAATCACCGTGTAGCCCCGCCCTAAAGCATCCCCTGCTTTATGGTCTGTTTGACTCTAAATGGAGTCGCCCCCTGATGGACACTAGAGAGAATGCAGCTTTAACACGTTCAGAACTGGAGGAATGCCGTCTGTTTGAAACCTTAAGTTTCCTCTTTTCATACTTCATTCTTGCCACTATTCCGTTTTTTTTCTAAAACTGCTTTACTTCTGTTCCTGTCCTCTCTTTTTTCTTTGCTTTCCTACTTCCTTCCTTCCTTGTTTCCGTCCTCCTTTGATTCTATCTTTCCACATGCATGTAACATGTAGTTATGTCCACCTTTTTTGTTTTCTCTCTTTCACACTTATTTCTCTCCTTCCTTCCTTCATACCTTCTTTTCATCCCTCCATCCTTCTTTCCATCATTGATTCCTTCTTTTGTCATACCATCCTGTTTTCTAGTTTCTCTTTTCCTTCTTCTGATACTTCCTTTCCTCTAACTTCTCACGTTATCCATATTTGTTTCCTTCCTTCTCTCTTCTTGTGCCCTTCCTACTTTGCTTCCTTTCCTTTTAAAACCCCCACACCCGAAAAATCACTTTACTCTGAAGGATCTGAGAGCGTCTCTCTCACACACACACACACACACACACACACACACACACACACACACACACACACACACACACACACACACACACACACACTTTGTGAATCACTTAACACCAAAGACTTTCTTAACGTTTTAAAGTTTGACCCTGAACGCCTCTCTCTGCTCCGTCCGACCTACGAACTAAACTTTTAGGAGTTCACAGACGCTGATCTTCCTCCTCACATCTTCCTCCAGCAGCAGAGGGAACCGTGGACGGATGAATCCATCAGAAGGGACGAGCAGTAAGCTGCAGGGCGTCGGCACGATGACGCAGCAGAGAATAAACTATTGAATTGAGACGCAGCCAATAAAAGGAGGACGTTAGAGAAGAGGAAGCATGACTCAGCACTTTTCAGGTGTTCTGGATCTGATATTGTCCAATTAGGGAAAAGGAAGCATCTGTTTTCAGCTCTTTTTGTTATTACTGCTATTATCAGAGTTATTATTATACTTTATTTTCCTTCTAGTTTACTTCATACAGCTAATACAGTATGATCATCACCACATCTTTATGTTTTAACTCTATATAATAAGGATATAAGGATGCTTTCAATCCCTGTATTTTCAGAATAAGTTGATCTATAAATGAAATCAGCTGAATCTTCACTATTTACATACTTCTAGTAACTTATAGTTTTTGGGGATTAAAGAGCTAATTGGACAATTATTGCTGCTTTACAAACTTTCTTTCAACAGTTGTTTTGGCCGATTCGAGTATTTTTGACTCAATTATTCTTCACCAAAATCTCAATCCGACCATCACGGGGAGCGTTTGAAAACAGATTCATTTCACTGGAAGCTCGTTGATATTTGCTCCTGAAATGAATCCTGTTTAAAACTCGTGTTTCTTTCTGTGTGTTCTCATCAGACAGAGTCGCAGAGGAAGACGAGCAGTTTGCATCGACTAGATTGAAAAGAACATTTGTTTCTTGTCAAGAATAAAAAATGCTTCTTATGTGGAACCATCTGGTTTCTGGGTTTGTTCACTTATTGGTTCAACAATTATTTGGATTTATTTCCTGCAAACATTTTCCCTTGTGCATTGATGTATATATAGATGCGGCTCTTCTCCAATCGACTCTCGTACGATTGTTTCAGATAAAAGAAATGATCATTTGTAAATTATATTTTGTGTTTACTCATTTTGTCTTTGTTTTAAATTCAACATCACAACTTTATTGGGAGAAATATGCAGAAATAGAGGAAGTCACGAGGGGGGGGGGGGGGTATTTAATATTAAAGAGGACAGAAGGACAGCTCCTTGTAACGGTCAAAAATGCCTTAAATTCAAAATGGCCGACTTCTTGTTGGGTTTAGGACATACCTCCAAGAGGCTTTTTTGCACGTCCCATCATGTTACATTTACTTTCCGAAATTTCATGTGGCTAGGTGGAACGCAGCAATGGGGCTACTCAAAGGGGCGCCATCGAGCCCTAAATAACCGATGGAGGCAGCAGTAGACCATCAGCTCCTGAGAGGTAGAATCACGTTTTAGTGAATGGAGTCTGGTGACATTAGGGTCTGTTTCTCTAATCTCATGTGCTGTAGTAAAACACTGACTGTGGAGAAGAATCTCATACAACCACTCTACTAAAGACACTCCGCTGTGTTCGTACCCTGAACGTGTCCGGGGAGCTGAGGTGGAACTTCTGCCGGATGTCCTCGGAGGCTCCGGCACACAGTCGGTAGAAGATGTGGTAGTTCCTCTCCTCTTTGCTTTGTCTGCAGATCCTCGACTTCTCCAGCAGGTAGTGCGACACGAAGCCGCCCACGACGGCGTTCTGAAGACACACGAGATGCATTTTAAATCTCCTGAACACCAACCGACTGCTGTAGCCTCCGTCAGAGCACTGCTACTCAGAAAACGAATGACGGACTTTGAAAGGAAGTGAAAATATGAATAAAATATCATTAAAATCGCATTTTATATCTGTTTAAACGGAGGAAACGGCTGTTAATAAAGTAGGAAATCTAGAAAAATCCAGAGCAATACAATAGAAACTGTGTGTAGAGCACGTATATATGTAAATATTCTGATTTACCGCAGGTCTGCAGAGACAAAAGAGCAGAAATGATCATAACTGCAGAAGCGGAGGCCTCATCACTTGTATTTTTTACCCTGTGTAAGCGTCTTAGATGACACAAGAATATTGTGTTTATTAATGAACGCAGAGATGAAGATGAATACAAAGAGTTCATGCTGAACAACCACAGCTCTGAGGCTTCATGTGTAATTTATAGCATCTCTTTGTGTCTGTGAAACACTCGTGTGACGTCGTTAACGTTAATGCTCTTTGATTAAAGCACCTTCTCGTTGAAGTGGATCTCCACAAACTTTCCGAAGCGGCTGCTGTTGTTGTTTCGGACCGTTTTTGCATTTCCGAACGCCTCCAGCAGCGGGTTGGCTGAAAAAACAACAACAACCGGAGTCACGAAACACAAACGAGAGAATTAATTAAAAGTTCTGATAGAAAAGAAGAGCAGCAGTCTGACCTTCCACGATTCTCTCATCGATGTCCTGACCGGTTCCATATGAGCTCGTCAAGTATCTGTCAGCAGAAACACACAGTTTTCCATCGACACATATCTCTCTCTCATTCATTCATTCATTCATTCATTCATATATTCATTCATTCATTCATTCATTCATATATATATATATATATATATAGTACAGTGAAGCAAAGTGCAGTGAACACAGGTACAGTTAGATGAAGTGCAGTGAACACAGGTACAGTGAGGTATAAAGTGAAGTGAAGTGAACACA